GTAAGTGAAAGAAACCTTCCGTTCTCCAGTGGTTATGTCGTGGTACATTCCTTACTTCTGGGACGTACAGAAGCAAAAGCTCCAGGGTGGGAATCCGCCTCTCTCCCCTCACAGAGTGTGTTGAAGCACCCTACGACCGAAGGCTGCTTCTGCCAATGCCAATTTATCCACTCTGTAATGTTTGGTAAAGAAGCGTACGGATTTCCAAGTGGCTGCCCGACATATGGTTTCTAAGGAGGGGAAGGACCTATATGCCGGAGTCGTGGCTGCTCCCCTAAGAGAGTGCGCCACTATCCCCTCTGGAGGCTGTAACCCATTTTCCTTATATGCCAAGATAATGCAGCCCTTAATCCACCTGCTCAGAGTAGAGGTGGAAATCTGCATTCCCAGAGAAGATTTTCTAAAGGACACAAAAAGCGCCTCAGATTTTCTCCAACCCTTCGTCCTATCAATGTAAAAGCTAAGTGCACGTCTAACATCTAGACAATGCCATTCACGTTCCTTATCGTGCTTAGGATTGGGGCAGAAAGAAGGTAGAACTATTTCCTCTGCTCTATGGAAGACTGAGTTCACTTTTGGGACAAAAGTTGGATCTGGACGAAGGACTACCTTGTCCCGATGGAAAATACAAAGTTCCCTATTAACGGAAAGTGCCCTTGTTCCGAAACCCTACGTGCAGAGGTGATACCCACCAAAAATAGGGTTTTAAAGGTTAGTTGTTTGAGAGGACATGATGCCATTGGCTCAAAAGGTTGTTTGCAAAGAGCCGTCAATACTGTATTAAGGTTCCATGTGGGACATCTGTGGACTAGTAGAGGATTGATAGATACCCCTTTTAAAAATCTCTTAACATGCGGGTGTCTAATAAGAGACCGCCCATGATTAGCTTCTAGAATGGCTGATATGGCAGATACCTGCCTTCTGAGAGTGCCTGTACTAAGGCCCTTCTCTAGACCATCTTGCAGAAAGGATAAAACCGTCTTAACTGAGGCCTTAAGGGGATCCAACTCCTTTGCCACACTCCAATCATGAAACACTTTCCAGGTGTAATTGTACAATCTTTTAGTGGAGGCTTTCCTAGATGCCAGCATTGTATCTACTACTTTGTCTTGGTAACCGGCCCCCACTAGCATTTCCTGCTCAATCTCCACGCTGCTAGCCTTAGTAACCCCGGTTGTGGGTGCCTTGTCGGTCCTTGGGACAGTAAATCCTCCCTTAAGGGCAGACGCCACGGTTTTGCTATTGACATGCCCTTTAAGTCCTGAAACCACGCTTGATGCGGCCAGAAAGGTGCAATCAGCACTACTTCTGCTTTCTGTTGTCGCACCTTTTGTAGTACCCTGTGCATGATCGGCAAAGGGGGAAAAGCATAAAGAAGTCCCTTCGGCCATGGACAATTGAGAGCATCTGTCCTGTGTGCTAAGGCATTTCGAACTCGGAAGAAGAACTCTGGAAGCTGACGGTTTTCCTCCGTCGCAAACAGGTCGAGGTCCATCTGACTGAACTCGTTGCAAATCTGCCGGAAAACTTCTGTGTTCAGCCTCCATTCTGACTGATCTAGTCGTTTGCGACTTAGCCAGTCCGCCAACTTGTTGTCCTTTCCTGCCACGTGAGTGGCCTTTAGAAACAACAGGTGACGTTCTGCCCATGAGATCAATGTGGTGGCTTCCGCATTTAAGGAACGAACCCTGGTTCCCCCCTGTCTGTTCACGTAGGCTTTTGCCGTGGTGTTGTCCGTCTGGACAAGTACATGATGTCCCGACAATGTATCCACCAGATTCAGGAGACCTAAGTGAATCGCCCTCAGTTCCAGCAGGTTGATACTCTCCATTGACTTCTTGACTGACCATTCTCCCTGGGCCATCATGTTGCCCGAGTGTGCCCCCCATCCAAACAGACTTGCATCTGTTGTCATAATTAACCTTGGGGGATCTCTGAGAGGGGATCCCTGAGAGGGGATCCCTCTTTGAAGCGTGTCGATATCTGCCACCAAGCCAGTTGGTGCCGAACCGCTAAGGGGAGATGGATAAGTTTGTAACTTTTGCGCATTATCTCCCCTTGGTATGGGAGAAGAAGCCTTTGTAGGGGTCTGGCGTGAAAATGGGCCCACATTACTATCCCCTGACAGAAGACTAGCTCCCCCCGGCTCCCATGGCGAAACGGAGTCCCCCCCCACGGGAGTGCACCGGTGTTCTCATCCCTCGCGCCTTTTTGAGAGGGGTAGAGTTACAGCCTGCGTCAGCTTACCGCTTTTCAGGTGGGATGTAAGGAGTCGGCGCTTTTCCGCTCCGTGTCCCCCCAAACTGTCGTCTGTCCACTGTTATGGAGAGCCCTGTCTCCTTACCGCTGCGTCTGAACGCCTCTGCGCTCCTGGGCGATCGGAGCAGGCCCTCCGCCCCAGGGACGGGTAAGGCCAGCAGAGACCCGCACCACTGGCTGCCGACGCGCCTGGGATCAAGCTCTGACGTCGTCAGCAAAGAGCCCCTGCTGTCCGGCTGTCATAAAACAAGCCGTTTTCTCCCTCTTTTCTGTCTTCTGTTCTTGGTGTGCGCTTTCGGCGCAGCCTGAGCACATCCTGCTGGAAGCAGGGCCGGCAAACAAACTGGATGGCCTACAAGGGGATAAGCCCCTCCCCCGCCTGGATCAAAGCTTGGAGCCGACCCTGAAGAAAGAGGAGCTTATCCCGGAAGTAAGGAATGTACCACAACATAACCACTGGAGAACATGTACATTTCACAGTCAGTGACTTGCAGATGACCTTATGACAGCCTGATCTGGCCTTTGCTAACAAATGGAGTAATTTACATATCCAGGTTCTCACACTGACTCATGGGAACTGTAGTTTGCCTCTTTCCCTTTCTTTTTGCTGTCAAGCTGCAGCCAATTTATGAGGACCTCACTGGATTTTCAAAACAATAGGCATTTCAAGGTGGTTTGCCGTTGCCTGCCTCTGCATAGCAACCCTGGTGTTCTTTGGTGGTCTCCCCTCTAAGGACAAACCGGGGCCAACCCTGTTTAGCTTCTCAGATTGGGCCAGTCTCGGCTATTCTGGTCAGGGACTCTTTCCCTGTCGGTAACTTAAATGATGCATCCTAAGGGCACCTACGCAGAAAGGGGCAAACTGTGGGTGACTCGTGCTTGAACGGTAGGAAATTATAGCAACCCAGCTGTGACCCTGGAGATAGGTGCTTCCAAAGTGATACAGAAAGTTCTGGACACAGGCTGTGAAGGTGCAAAAAGATGCTGCAGGTTGCAACACTTAACTTACAAATACAGCTTGCTTACTAAGGCATGACCTACCAGTGACCCCCATAGTATACAAATCAACTTTTGCAGGGAGGTCTGTAGCAGCAGCCAGGCCGAATGCTGTGAACAGTTCAAGTGGCAAAGCTGTTCCACGCAGCAGGCAGCCAGTTTGAAAGCCACGCAAACGACGAAGGCAATACAGCCAGGGCCTTGGCTCAGACATGCATGATGCTTTTGAGCACGATACCTTTAAATGCAGACGTTTTTTAACAAAATGCTCAGCATTCCTTTGACATGTTGAAAAGCATTAGACAAATGCTAAATCTTATGAGGATACAAGTTGGGCTCCCAATTGTTTTTGTTTATGGAAACCTACGAGATGGTGGTGGAGACTGCTAAAAGGGAATATTTTATAGTCTCTATTGCATCTGCTAGCTCTTGCCTGGCACAATTATTTAGGATAATTAGGCCTCTGACCTCTCTTACAGAGAGAACTCAAAGTAGTAGTAATTCGGCCATTAGCTGTGAGGCTTTCGCAAGCTTTTTTGCAGATAAAGTCTCGTCACTCTGCCACGACCTGCTGGCCAACATTGATGGCCCTTGGCCATCTTCGGATTCAGTGTTGGACAGCTTCAGCCGGCTCTCCCAGGCCGATGTTGACAGGATCCTAGGTACTGTTCGGCTGACCACTTGCCCAGAAAGAGGAGGAGGAGGAGGAGGAGGAGAATGGGATCAGGGCAGTTTGGCTCATACAATAATGATTTCCTGCCAGAGCAGCCCAAACTCTGTATACCCCCCCCAAAAAAAGTCAGACATCTCCAAAAATCCCCATGATTCAACAATGTAAATCAAGCAATTCTCTGTTAACCATAACGGCTGCATTATATTCAGGAACAGAACCCACCTTTTAGTGCCAAATTCAAATCCTGCGCAAATGGAATCTGTGGTTAGCAGAGTAAGCTTTGTGCATGTGGAAGATGTTTCTCCTCTCTGACCCGGGCGGGGGGTGATGTAGTCCAGAATGTCCACCTGGAGCTGCAGGTCCTATTCTGTGGCATCTGCAGGTGCCAAGGACCCCCAACCCTCAGGACCAGCTTTTTTGGGGGGGGAGTGTAAGGGGGCAAGAAACACCTGCCCTGTGATGCTTGTCCAGTCGTTCTTTGGATTCAGCGGCCTCCTGACATTCACAGTCAATAAACACACATCTGGGGCATTTCACCCTACATGATCTTTATTGGAGACAGTTGGGGGTCACTTACTATACAGACGTTAACATCACACCATTATCTTCCGACTTAAGCCCATTTCATTTTCTTATAAATTTGTAGCAAAAGTGCACTTTTAATCTATAGTATATCTCTTTCAATATTCTCTCTCTCTCTCTCAAATCATGTATTTTATCTGTAAAAATGCTTATCGCCAAATATACAAAATACAAGTTTAACGCTCTCCTACGTTACTCTGTCCTATCTGCTGTTTCAGCACAATCGCGTTTGGTGATGTTCCTCCCCCAGGGCCCAGAGTTGACAAACGCCTGCCAGGGACCCACTTGGGGTCTTTATGAGAGGATTTCTAAACAAGAGAAAATTTGCATGTAGTGTATTATTGTCGAGTAGTTGTGGACCACTATTTCTTTATGGATGATAAGCTTTGAGGAAAAGATTCCATTTGCAGATTAAAAAGTTTTGAGTTCACCTATCTTGCCAGTTTTCATTCTGAAATCGAGGTGTGAGTGCTTGAACTTTAAGCCAACTCTGAAAACAGAAAATAGGATTTTGTTTTAGAGAGCAGAAGGTGTTGCTTACAGAATTGTGACTGGGTACCCTACCGGGGGGGGGGGAAGCAAGGAGACGGACCCTGCATGGGGGACATCAGATTGTGTAGCAGACGTGGGGCCTTGAAGACTCTCGTGTTCTTTCACAACCCTGTGTTTCCCAGCATTGTGGTTTTTACTGTAGCCTCTAGCAGGTTGTTTGGACAAGGACAACATTTGCATCAATGCGTCTCCATCAGAGTCCAAATCCGGGGATTTGACGAAGCGCCTCTCCCTCCGCAGGGACTGCCTTCCCAGTTACAAGGAGGGCTGCTGTGGGGCAGCCACACACTTTTAATATGATCCCAGAACTGGCTGATCTTGTACAAAACGTCTCTGTTCAAGTAAATTGCAAAGTCGTTCTAGGGAGGGCTGCTCACACCTCCAGGCTGGGCTACTGTGATGGTTTCAGTGGCTGAGATAAACCTCTGACATGGCTCAAAAAGAATTTTCAAATGGAGACGGCGAATACCTGCAGAGTTCTCGATTGCATGTATTTTCTCTTGAGGTTATAGTATACAGCACAGACACGAATGGACACTAACTGAAATTCAGTCTTCACGAGACTATTTTCATCCCTCCTCCCATTAAAGCAGCAGCAAATAAGAAAATGGGCAAAAACTACTGGGAGGGGAGAGTGTAAGAAAATGTATTCCAAGGCATTGGTATATTGTTAGCCCAACTGATTATTTCTTAGCTCCAACCCCTATTGTTTAAAAAGACAATTGTAATTACCTTAGTTAGTGTTACTTAATGTGCATTTTGAACACAGTCATAAAATTGCTCCTTTAAAAAAATGTACTGTACAGTGAAATGAACACCAAACAGATCCTGTTTCAGTAGAGGGCACTTTTGGCTTAGGTAATAGCTCCAAGAAATACAGTAACTTTAACTGCTAACTAGACATGACCTCAAGGGCTTCCACATACTTCTTTGCTCTCCTGGCTTCTGCAGTATTGTGACTTTAAGTCAAACTTCTATTTAATAGGAAACAAACAAACAAGCAAAAATAACAGATAAAGTATATAAAATTATATCTTTCAAGGAAATTTGGAGAAAAGGCAGTTGATTCTTTTTTTAAAAAAATGTAAACGAGAACTATAGCGTTATCTGAAATAAAGAAGATTCTTCTTGGAAATCCACAGCATTGGAGAAATAACATTTTTTGTCCTTTTTTTATACATAAGATTAAGGATGTGGTGTTTCCAATATGACTTAACTTCGTAGCAGTCCTGGCGCTCTGAGCACAAAACCATTCAGCAGCTTTCTGAGGCTTGTATCTGAAAAAGCACCTTCGGACAATAAGGAATATTGAAACCATAACCCATTCTGCTAAAATACAGAAAAACAACAACGGAAACCAAGATGAAGTCTCAGGCGGTCACTGAGCCATGAGCAAATTCGGCAATGCTACTTTGAAAACCCTTCCTTGGTTCTTGGACAATTGAGCATCCAGATTTCAAGTAGAGGTAACACAGATTTTGGAAGATAGCACATATAAAATAGCCCAGAAAGAAAATCAGAGCGGAACCCCTTCTTGTTCATCCTCGAGAAAACGGCCCAACTAGCCTCCTGTTGGTCTCCTGTGGTCCTATGGCAATGGCAAGGAATTGATTTGACTATCACTATGATGTCCCGTCTGGGCACAATCTTGATCCCTTTCTGTATACTTGTAAGATGCTTCAACATGTCATCTTAGTCCCTTGACTGGTAGAAGAGGATATATCCAGATTCTGAGTTTTTGGAAATGTCTGATGTTAACCCATAGAACTCTTCAATTGCTTGAGCATCAATTTTCTGTAATGTAAGAGAACCAACAAGTTAGAAAGGCACACACACACTCCAGAAGCCATATGATGCTTTTTGTGAAGACCAACCAAAATAACACAACACAGTGCATGAGCATTCAAATTCTCTCCATAAGGCTGGATGTTAAAAAGCAGGGGGGGGGAGATAACTATACCGTGGTGAAAAACTTATCTCTCTGCATCTTATGTAGGATGCTTTGTTAACTTTGATGGGCACAGTAACAAGGTGCACCCTGGACATGCTGCGGAAGGGAGTGAAAACGGATGCTATCCAGCTGAAAATATAACCAAATTAGACGAAATTTTGCAAAAGCATTTGTTTGTTGTTCCCTACCCAGCACACTGCTTCCCTATTAAGGCAAGCAGCAGTTATTTCCTTATTGCATGGAAGACAGCAATAAATTATTGAGCAAACATCATCAGTCATTTGGACCGTTTAGCATGTATCATTCCACTCCTTCTGTTCGGTTAGGATTTAGCGGCAGTGCCAATGGAGAAAGCAGAAACTCATCTATCACAGACGGCATCTGCACCACCCTCTGGACCTTTCACCACAGTGGCTGGAATTCAAAAAACTATGCAACTGCCTCCGTGCCCTTCAGTGATCTGGGGACAGGCTTTCTAGCAAGGGGCTCTTAAAATCAACACTTCCAAAAGTAGGACGCAGAGCTATTCAAGGTTAACCTGTCCTGCTAGAACAGCTCCTGGGATCCCAGCCAAGGCAGCTCCATCCCTCCCCATATTGTCCCTTATGGGCATATGTGTCACGGCTCCTGCTTACTGGGAGCAAATGGCTCCTCCTGCGTAAGCAAATGGCCCCAGCAGAGGATCTAAGTGCTGCCGGGGATGAGCTCACGATGCCGGTAGTGCCTGCACCTGACAAGGCTGAGCTTTCAGAAGCTACGGCTGAGGTAGAAGCACGCCCGGACAGTTCTCCTCCTGATTCGCCTCCACCAGTATCCCATTTAAGGGAACAACACTGACGGGAGATGGCGAGAGGCACGCATGCATGGCAGACGCTCACTCAGCCCCGAGTACTAGCAGGAGCAGGGACTCGCTGGAGGTGCGCTAATTGCTGACAGGTTTATGGGCTATTTAACTCCCGCAGTCACGCTGACAAATCGTGCCAGCAACTAGTCTCTTCGGACGAAAGCTCTGCACCTCCTCGCTCATGTTCCTGACTCCTTGTTCCTGACTGGATTCCCTCGGCTCTGTGACCCAGGCTTGAACGACTGCGCTTGGACTCTGCACCTTGAACCTTTCACTCCTTGGCTCTTGACTCTTTTGGACTCTGGCTCTCTGACGACTCTAACGGTTTGTGATTTGAACTTGCTTTCCCGGTTGGTTTGCTTGCCTGGCTCTTGACTCTGGACTGTACTTCGACCACCCTGCTTTTGCTTAGTGTCTTGGACTTGGTTTCCCGGCTAGCTTCCTTAACTGGCTCTTGATCTTGGACTGTATCCTGACTGCCTCGCCCCTGCCTAGCCCCGCATCGTGACAATATGAATACGTTTCACTGGGCACAAGTCCCACTCAGCTCAACGTGAAAAATGTAAGTGTGAGCCTCAAAATCAATAGGAGTTTAAAAGGAGTTAACTTTGGTCAGACAGTGCCCATTGTATGTTCTTTCTTGGCCACTGAAAATGCATGCTCTGATACAAACATAATGTTGCCAAGTTGCTTCCATTTTGGCTTACGTTTCACACACCCACACCCACACACACACACCCATCTTGGTGCTGAGACCAGCTCCCCCCTGCCACAGGAGGCCAGGAAAGCAGGGTTTCTGGCCATTTCCAAGACAAAAGCCAGAGGATGGTGATGCTGGAATGGATTTGGCTGCCTCCAGTGAACAGCGCTGGGCCCCTCTGATCACTGATCAAGGCCTCTCTCAGCAAATGAGTGACATGCCTTTAAATGAGTGCCCTGGGAAACTTTTGATGTGCTTCAACAACCCTTAGTATTGCGGAACCTGAAAACCATGGAGAAAATGCCAGGAAGAGAAAAGGCCAACCCATACATTCTCTAAAATGAGGGGAGTAACTGCCCCAGTTAACAGCATCCAGCCACAGACTATCATCGAGCCCAGCGGGGGATCCTGAGCTCCAACCTTTATCGCATGTGAAATGTGTGCCCCCATGCCCGGAAAAGGTTACATGTTATCTTTAGTAATGCAGATGATTAAGAAAACCTTCAGGGACACACTCTGTGATGTGGTGAGCTGCTCTCCGGTGTCTGCTTACTGGCTCCTTGAGAACTCCGGGGCCCTGCAGTGCAACTAGGCCCCCTTGGCCCAGGGCGACCCCCCCCCCTTCCGGGTACTGACCACCCAGCAGGCCTCACATTCGTGGGCGCCTTCCTTGTAAGTTAGCTATCAAAACCGTTGTTTGGAATGGGGCACAAACCATATGAATGAAGGAAACTGGAAACTACGTTTTGTTTTTTTTTAAAAAAAACAAAGACAAAACCCCAGTGCTGCCAAACCATCTGGAAGAATGCCACTGCTTGGCAACATCACCCACAGGCAGAAGGGCATCACCTAAGTCAGGGGCTACGCCCAACGATGCAGACGCCCCCACTGGAGCCAATCCCACAAAATGCAAAAGCCCCCAATTCACTTGGCCTCTCCCCCCCCCCCCCCCCCCTCCCCTTTTCCCTCCCCACGCGCCGCG